GGTGACCAGTAAACACTTGACTGAAGCCTTGTCTGGTAATTAAAGAAATGTAAATCAAATTCACATATACCTTTGACACTTAGATTGACCCCAGGCCAGAATGGGGAAAGAGGAACTTTCATCATACCCTGTTGGTAGTAGTGTAATTTGGTACAGCCTTTTTGGTGGACAGTGTGGCAACCGACCAAAATTTGAAACACAAGAATTCTTTGACTCAGCATAGTTTATCTTCTGGGTATGTAAATGTAACTAAAGAAAGATTCGTACAAAGGGGTTAACTTAAAATTGTGTGTGTGCCATTTGTGTGTGTGTTGGGGAGGAGTAGGTAGGTAAAAAGGATAGGTTTGCATATGCCTAAAAAAAAAAAAGTGAGACCCCCCCCCCTCACCTCCCTATCTATTCCAAGTGGTTCTTGGGGTGAGGAACATTTTGACTTCATTTTTTTTCATGTTTCTTTATTTGAGAGAGAGAGAAAGTGCGCGCATTCACGAGCAGGGGAGGGGCAGGGAGAGAGGGAGAGAGAGAATCCCAAGCAGGCTCCCCGCTGTCAGTGTGGAGTTCGATGAGGGGCTCCATCTCACACACTGTTGGGATCATGACCTGAACTCAAATCAGGAGTGGGTGGTTTAACTGACTGAGCCACGCAGGTGCCCAGGAAATTTTTGACTTTAAAAAGTTTTGTATTCTGGGGCGCTTGGGTGGCTCAGTCGGTTGTGTGCAAGACTTGTCTTCGGCTCAGGTCATGATCCTGTGGTTTGTGGGTTCAACCCTGCATCTGGCTCTGAGCTAACAGCGCAGAGCCTGCTTGGGATTCAGTTTCCCTCTCTTTCTGCCCCTCCCCTACTTGTTCTTTATCTCTTTCAAAAGAAATTAAAAAAAAAAGACTTAAAAATAAGTTTTATATTCTTCTATATTATTTGACTTTTTCCTTCGCATGGGCAAGTCTTTCTTACATCATAATTGTATAAAGTAAAAAAAAAAAAACCTAACAAAATAATTTTTAGACATTAAAATCATGAAAATAAGTATAATTCCACTTAAAGCCTGGCTATTTATTATTTCTAAACAGAGGAGGATTCATTTTCTTTCAATTCTTCCTTTCATCCAAAAGTAGCAAATTATGGCAGCCATGTGTCCCCATTTTGGTTTTTTTTTTT